CCTCCTCATCCTCCGCCTCCTCCTCATCCTCCGCCTCCTCCTCCGCCTCCTCCTCCGCCTCCTCCTACTCCTCCTTTTCCTGCTCCTCCTCCTCCTCCTGGGGAAACCAGAGGGTACCCGTACCGCTGCTCCTCGGGCCTCTCCCAGGGCGCGCGTCCTCCTCCTGCCCCTGGGGAAACCAAAGGGGCACCCGTACCGCTGCTCCTCGGGCCCCTCCCAGGACGCGTCCCGACCAAGAACTTCGGAGGCGGGTCCGGCCGCAGCAGCGAAGGCATCCCGGGAGGCCCAGGAGGGCGACTACGGGCGAAGGACAGCGGTAGGGGTACCCTCTCCTGCTCTGACCCTCGCCCGCCGCCTGGCGTCACTGCCGCCACGGCCCCCTCAGCCACTCGCGCAGGCGGCCGAACAAGCCCTGGGGGAGAGGGGGGGGCGACCGGGCGACGGGAGCGGGAGGAGGCGCGAGACGAGACCGCCGCTCCGACACCGAAGTGCAGCCCTCCTGAGAGGAGGCGAGGGTGATCTTCGTGGATCCGTGGAACTTCTCCACGGAGGGCCGAGGCACTGCGGGAGGCTTCAGAACTTCTGGAGGCGTCCAGGAAGGTGGGGGAGGAAGAAGAGGGAACTGAGGAGGAGGAGGAGGAGGACGACGACGACGAGGGGAGAGCGGACAAGGAGGAGGAGGGAGGGCAAAGGACGAAAGAACGGGGGATATCCTGATCGCGCACGAAATGTGACTGGGCTGTTTGCCCTATTCGGGCCACGTGACTCTCACGGACAAATCTGGCGCTTGTGGGCTGGCCCTGGTGATGGCCCATGGAGTCCCCCCCCCAAGGTCCTGGGTGCGCCGCCGGAATACGTCCATACCCGGGGTGATGTCCCGGGAACTCGGGAAGCGGTGTATGTGGTCATACTGTGGCGATGCATCGGGGGAAGCGGACGTCGCTGCGTCAATGTTCTCCATCTCCCGTGCACAGACAGAAGGAATCATCACTGCTCGGGGCCCACCCACGCGTTGGCCTCATCCCGCCTCACCCCGTGCCTCTGCGAGAACGTCCCTGCAGGCAATGCCTGCGGTCAAGGGAAGGTCCTGCTCCCTGCAGCCCACGCGCTGCCATGAGGAGCACCAGAGAAGGAACGAAGGGCCTTTCCTGACCACGGCGAGCCTCGGCCACGAACATGCTCCCCGACCGAGGTCTCAGGCCCGGCCCGACATCCCGAGCACCTCCTGAGCCCAGAGTGGCCCTTGCGTCCGCTCCTTGACTGTGCTCGCACGCCGCAGCGCGAAGACCAGCGCGGGGCTCCGCAGAGGGCCCGGAAGTCCCCAGGCCTTCCGAGAGAAGCTCCCTGCGCCGTCCCCGGAGGCACGGCAGACTTCTCAGGAAGGCCCGAGGCCTTCTGAGAGGGCCTCCTCCTTCTCATTTCCCCCCCTCGCTCGCCGCCGAGCAGCGCCCGTCGAGGCCCCCCGCATGCACAAGCGGGCCCCGCCGCGATCAGAGGCAAGATCGCGCGGCTGGCGGGCACACCGCGCTTGTGCCTCTCCAGGACCGGAGGCCGAGGCTACCCTGGCGAGGGGCGACGCAGAGAGATGCGTCTGAACTCTTCGTCCTCATCCTCCTCCACTCATCCCTCCGCCTCCATCTCTCCCTCCTCCTCCTCCTTCTCCTCCTCCTCCTCCTCCGACTCTCCTCGCTCCCTCCTCACTTCCTCCTCCCTCCCTCCTCCATCCTCACTCCCTCCCTCTTCCGTCTTTTCCTTCTCCGGCTCGGGTGCGAGGGCGGGACGGAAACAGAGGCCAGCACCCACGCTCGGGAGGGGCGGGCGGACAAGCAGAGCGAGGAACGAGCGAAGATGAGTGGCTTGGACGTGTGCACCTGGGTGGCAGCAACTTGCCAGAGGGTGGGCTTACCGAGACAGCCGACACAGGCCTCTCTCTCTCTCTTTCTCTCCCTGTGTTTCAGGAGAGCGAGGTTGCTGTCGGCTGTGCGAGGCGAGAGTAAGCTGAAGGAAAATAGATGACGTGAAATACCACAAGCAAAATGAGCAGGAGCAGGAGCAGGGAGGAAGAGAACAGACAGGGGGGAGGTGTGCGGAGGCTCTGCTGTCTGATCCTTCGGTGGCTCCGGCATGAACTCCATCTCGTCCGAAGGGTTGCAATCCCTGATCACCTCTGTGCGGCGCAGAAGAACATGCTGGTACTGTTGTCCCCCAGGCGCACGCCCGACGGAAACGCATCTTGCGAACGAGGGAGGAGGAGGGGGGAAGAGAGGAACAACCATCTTGGGCCAACGCACGTCGCCCATACTGGAGGCTGTATCCGACAATATTGCGACCTATCATGCCAACTTGAATCATCAAATGGGCTTCATTATTCGAGATGCCTATCTTGGAAGCATTGGGGGAAGTTTGGTGCCGCTCTAGGACAGCAGTAGTGCTACAGGAAAGGCACTGGCTCGAGCCTCTTTAGCCATCGTAGGACCACATTGTGACCTCTGGGCCCATCTCAAGCTGCGTACACGAAAATCCCAGCTCCATGTAAGAGCTACATACCAACATGTATGGCTCACAGCCGGACCCAGAACAGACAAACATCCTTCAAGAAAGTGAGACCCTCCGCCGGCCAAACACAAAGAACATCCAAGGGTACCCTCCCCCAGGATGCACCAGAACATCCAACGAACACGAAGAACACTAGGGTACCCTCCCCGAGCCGACCTCGATCTGATACCTCGGTCCGACCGTACACGAAAATCCAATCACCGTTGAAGAAGAGCTGCGTGCCAACATGTTTGGCCTACTTTCGAGGGGCATCTCAGAGCCATTTCGGGACCCCCTTGGGACGACGACGCAGCCCCTTCTGGACCCGTCTGGGGCCCTTCTTGGGTTGCCCTTGGGGCCACCTGCGAACCCTCTGGCAAGGCTCGAGCTAAACAGTATTTTCCGGTTTCGCTTTGTTGTCGCTTTCCCTCGCTCTGTCGTCATTCCACCTTTGCTGCAAAACGACATCGAAACGAAAACGGTACACGAAATCGCCAAAACACCGTTTTGCTTGAGCCCTGCCCTCTGGGTGGGGGCTCGGGACTCTCTGGGCTCTTCTCGGATACCTCGTGGGATGTTCTGGAGCCTCCCAGCCCGTTTGAGGTCATCTCGGCCATCCTTGTTGGCATGTCTTGTGGTCAGCAGGCCTCCTTTGACCATCGTAGGGCCGTCGTACGGCCTCACAGGTCCATCTGAAGCCGACCAAAAGACCAATCAGGTAATTACTTCGAGCTGCTGTATGCAGATTTCCGGGGTCTGCCGAGAGGGGGCATGTTCGGAGCCCGCGGTCCTTCGAAAGCCACTCGAGGGCATCTTGGGGTCGATTGGAATTATGTCTGAATATCATGTGAGCAGACTCGGGCAGCATTGTCCCCATCGGCGTCCAGGGAAGGCCCAGGAAGTTCTGCACTGCCTGATCCGACGCACTTGTATAAAATGCATGTCCCTGATGCATCCTCTTCCACTCCTCTCTCGTCCTGCTCCTCCTCCTCCTCCTCCTCCTCCTCCTCCTCTTCCCCCTCCTCCTCCTCTCCTCCTCCTCCTCCTCTCCTCCTCCTCCTCCTCCTTCTCCTCTTCCTCCTCTTCTTCTTCTCCTCCTCCTCCTTCTCCTTCTCCTCCCACTGTCTTCCTCCTCCTCCTCCTCCTCCTCCACCTCCTCCTCCTCCTCCATCCTCTTTCCCTGAACTATACCTTCCCCCTGTCGCACCCCAAGAAGTGCCGGCAGGGCGGGCCAGGCGTTTCGACTGAGACTTCCTCACCACTCATGATTCTAAAGCTGAGAACTGCGCAGCAGCTTCACGAATGGAGGGCGAGTCCTTCTCTGGATGTGGCTCTCGCCGTACAGCCGCGCACATGCGCCATACAAGTGTTTAAGCGCTTCACTGGTGCAGAGCGTCTTCTTAAACTGTGGCTCTCGCCCTAGTGCTGCGCACTCTCGTCATAGAAGCTTGTAAGGAGTTCCACGGATGGAAGGCGGCCGGTTTCAAAATATGGCTCTGGCCTTAGCGCCACGCACAACTATCTGTCATACAAGATCGCAGTAGTTTCACGGATGGAAAATGATCGAAGGCAGGTGATTTTCAAAATGTGGCTCTCGCCCGCGCAACGCACATTCGTCTCTTCAAGATTGAAAAGACTTCCAGGATGGAGGGCGGCTCTTTTTCCAAATGTGGCTCTCGCCCCAGCGCCGCGCACATTCGTCTTAGAAGGTTGCAACCAGCAGTTTCGCGGATGGAAAGCGGGTGGTTTTCAAAATGTGAACCTCTCCCATTCTCCGGGCTTCATTCGTCACGAACATTTGCAAGAGCTTCACGGGTGAAGGCGGGTCGTTTTCAAAATGTGGCTCTCGCTTTAGCGCCGCGCACATTCGCAAAACAAAATTATATGAGTCTCCCAGATGAAGAGCGGGTCCTTTTCAAAACATGGCGATCGCCCTCTCGCCGCACACATTATTTCAAAAGAATACAACCTGTTAACGGAATTCTTATGTCCCAGCATTCAGGCGACTCCAGCATCGAATCGATAAGTCGAATCGGTTCGACCCAAATATCGAATCGGCAGACATCGGCAGAAAGCGGCTAACAGATAGACTTGGCAGAAATCGGCAGGGCCAACTCGGATCAAATCGGAAACCGGATCGCGTCAAGCTGGATCGGAGTCGAAAACGGTAGGGAAAAACAGAAAGCAGAGGAGGTGATATGTATCCCCTCCCTCCTGCTCCCCTCATCCCGACTTTCGTCATCGCACGTCGTCGTCGACGTCGTCGCATGTCGCCGTGCGCACGTTGTCGCATGCGTCACCGCATGTCGTCGCATATGTTTTCGTCACACGTCGTCGTGCACGCTCGCACGCGTCAATAGTCGCAACTCTGGGTTTGGCTCGTCCCACAATCCGATTGGGGCCGACCCCTCCCGTCCGCGATGGACCCCCCAGTCCGTGACGGGCCCTCTCGAACCGGCCGAATCAGACCTGCCCGACGATCCGAGCCGAGCGAACCGAACCGCTGCTCCGCGGGATCATGAAGCAGAGATGGCCCCTTGGAGACCCCTTCGGGAGCCATTTGGGGACCCCTTGGGGCCCCTTGGGGGACCCTTGGGTGACCTTGGGAGGCCCCTTGGAGGGCCCTTTTGGGGCCGCTTGGGGGGCCATTAGGAGCCCCTTTGGGACCCCTTGTGGGCCCCTTGGGAGCCCCTTAGGAGCCCCTTGGGAGCCCCTTGAGGGTCCCGTGGGGGTCGCTTGCAAGCCCCTTGAAGGGCCACTGGAGGCCCCTGAAAGGCTCCTTCAGGGCCCCTTGGGGGCCCCTTGGAGGCCCCCAAGGCCCCCAAGGGGCCGCTTGGGGGCACCTGTCGTCGTCGTCGTCGTCGTCGTCGTCGTCGTCGTCGTCGTCGTCGTCGTCGTCGTCATCACCACCACCATCACCCTCATCCTGATCCTCATTCTTATCGTCATCTCGGAATCTCCGCATCAAATCGGTCGAATCGGCAGCTGGGGAAATCAAATCGAATCGAGCTAGCGGAATCGTAATGACCCCTGGTAAGGGTGCTCTGGCAATATTCAGGACTGGCAGGGCGCAACAGTCATGGCGATTCGCGGTGTTGAAGTCCCAGGACTGGTGTTCAAATACGATGCAAGATCGTCAGGGCGCAACGGTAAAGTTGACTCGCGGCGTTGAAGTCCAAAGAATAGTCTTTTGGCACGTTTGAGAATTCTCAGCCAGATGTCTTCCAACGGGGAGCTTCCAGCAGTGAAAATACATGCTTGTAGGGACCCATGTAGAGGGAATTTGCAGGGAGGGTTTCTTGCAACATCGTTGATGCGCCTCGGGATTACGCTGGTCCTCCTCCCTCTTATCCTCCACCACCTCCTCCTTCTGCTCCCCATTTTCATCCTGCGGTCGCTCTACACCCTCCTCTTCCTCCTCCTCCTCCTCCTCTTCCTCCTCCGCCTTCGCCTCCTAATCCTCCTCCTCCTCGTCCTCCTCCTCCTCCCCCTCCATTCCTTTTCCTTATAAACAGCTTCTCCTTGTCGCACCCCGAGGCCAGTTTTTAGGGCGGTCCGGGCGTTTCGCCTGAGACTTCCTCACCATTGATGACTCTGAAACTTAAAAAGTGGCAACAGATTCACAAATGGAGGGCGGGTGGTTTTCAAAAAAATGTGGCTCTCGCTTTAGCGCCTCGCACATTCGTTTTAGAAGCTTACACAAGTGTCACAGATTGAGGGCGGGTCGTTTTCAACATGTGGCTCTCGCCTTAGTGCCGCGCAAATTCGTTTCCGATGAGTTTCGCATATTGAGGGCGGTTCCTTTTCAAAATGTGGCTCTCGCCTTAGCACCGCGCACATTCGTTTGAAACAGTTGCCAGAGTTTCACGGATTGCGGGCGGGTCGTTTTCAAAATGTGGCTCTCGCCTTAGCGCCGCGCACATTCGTTTTTTGAAAGTTGCAAGAGTTTCGCGGATTGAGGGCGTGTCGTTTTCAAAATGTAGCTCTCGCCTTAGCGCCGCGCACATTCATCCATAACATTTGCACGAGATTCACAGATTGAGGGCGGTTCCTTTTCAAAATGTAGCTCTCGCCTTAGCGCCGCGCACACTCGTCCATAAAATTTGGAAGAGGTTCACGGATTCCCATGGTCAACGTACCTGAAATTGCGTTTTGGAAGGATTCAGGATTATGCGGGTGCAACAATTGTATTGATTCGCGGTGTTGAAATCCCATAAATGGCGTTCTGGCACGGTTCTAGATCGACAAGACGCAGCAATCAGGTTGATCCGTTGCGTTGAAATCCCGAAGACAATGTTTTGGCATGCTTCAGGGTCTTCAAGGGTGTCTTCCAACTGGGCAGTTCCCTCAATGGACATGAACCGTTGTAGGGGCCTATGAAGAGGGAGCCTGGAGGGAGGGTTAGTTCCAACATTGTTGATGACTCTTTGGTTTACACTGGTCCTCCTCCTCCTCCTCATCATCATCATAATCCTCATCCTCATCCTCAACCTCCTCCCACTTCGCTTCCCCGTCCTTTCCTCTTCATCATCAGCATCCTCCACCTCCACGTTCTCCGTACCGCCCTCATCTCGTCCAGTCGGAGTCGCTAGCGTCAGCAGAAAATACTCCTGGCTGCAAGCGCACCGCACTAGCCGGGGGGGAACCAGCCTTGTAGATCTTGCTGACACAGACCCTCAAGGGGCCGTGGCGGGTGCCCTTCTTGTCATCGGGAGGTACCCTGCGGGGATCACAAGACGTACACCATCAATACCTCCATCCCCCCCTCCCCCCCTCCACCCCCAATTCATCACCCCCCCTTCTGTGAGCGGGTGGAAAAAGGGGACCCTCTCAACATGCCAGATGAAGGCTCCTGCAATCGAGCCAATTGCGAGAACCCTCCGTCAACCCTTGGGAAGAGACAATATAGAGGCCCGGAATGAGTACGTACGGAAAAAATGGGTACGATGCCCAGGAACAAATGTTGTCCAGAACGGATAGCGGGCGCCGCTGGGCAGGCGGCCTTCTGTCTCACATGGGCACACTGCGCGGTGACACCAACAGCGAACCGTGTTCAGAACGAACGGGAAATGCGGTCAATCTTCATACCCACTCTTTCCGTATCCATTTCGACCGTCCGGAGCCAATGGCTGCCTCCCACGCTTTTCGCCGTCGCGGTGCGGCGGAGGCAATCCGCTCGCGCGCTCTGGCAGCTGGGGCGAAGCATACCGAGTGTCCGGCGGCACGAGAGAAAGATACGCAAGACAGAGGGCGGCCGCGCAGCAAGGGCGAGGGCGAAGGGGCGAGCGTCGTTGAACCGATCCCCATCCCCAGCGGCGCGGCCTGGGCCCCACTGGCCGATCTACCCCCCTTGATGGGGATGTAACGCAGTTCCCTTCGGGTTTCGAGGGGTGTACCCCCAACTGGGGTGGTAATTTGGTGGGGGTCTCGAAGGGGATGAGGACGGGGATGGGGGTCGGTTAAACGATCCTGCAGGGGGGGGGAGGACACACGCAGCACGAAGCACGGCCGCCCTTCCTGGACGGCGGCGCTGCACGCTTGTCGGCGGCGCGCCCAGGCGGAAGCGGCAGAATGGGGCGGGCCTTCCCAGGAGGCCCGGGGGGCCTCTGGCCCCCCAAGCGGCCGCCGCCCTTCGGGAAGGCCTGCCCCCAATCGCTCCCTCCCCCCCCCCCCTCGGCGGGCACCCCCCGATTCTAGCGAGGCGGGGGCACATCCATACACACCGCCTCTCGAGGTCTCCGGAGAGCGGATCCTCTGGGCGGCGGTCGCGGCCGGACCTCGGACAGAAGAGCATCCTTCAAGAACATGGGACCCTCCACTGGGTTAAACTGAAGAGCCTCCGAGGGTGCCCTCCCCTAGGACGCACGAGAACATCCAACAAGCAAGAAAAACATTTGGGCGCCCTGCCCGAATCGACCTCGGTCTTACACCTCGGTCCGACCGTATGTATACAGTACGGGCCAGTGAACAAGAAACCTTCCACAAGAAACGCAACCGTGAGATCCCAGGACGCCCACTGATTTTTGGTGTGGGGACGTCACGCTTTCCATAGAAAAACCATCGAAACCCAAGAAACCCAGGGCACCCTGAGACAAGCAGGGGGTTTCTTGGCATGGGTCGCCACTGTAAGTCCCGGCCTCGGAATTTTGGAGCCCGGGCAGCCTCTCCATGTCGAGGTACCTGATCGGCTTCTGGAGCGCCCGGCGCCCCCTCTGGCCGCCTCTGGCCTGAGGGGACGCTGCGGCGCGCGGGGCCCGAGCTCCGTCGGGGATCGACAGGGCGGAGGGAGGAGGAGGAAGCCTCCTCCTCCTCCTCCCTCCGCCCTCCTCCCTCCGCCCTCCTCCCTCCGCCCCCCTTTTAACGTTAGACCAACATTTGGTGTGATACGTGTTGCGTCATGATCCTCCGCCCTCCTCCTCCGCCCTCCTCCTCCTCCTCCTCCTCCTCCTCCCTCCTCCCTCCTCCTCCTCCTCCTCCTCTCCTCCCTCCTCCCTCCCCTCCTCCTTCCCTCCCTCCCTCCCGCCTCCCTGCCTCCCTCCCTCCCTCCCCCCCCTCCCTCCCTCCTGCCTCCCTCCTGCCTCCCTCCCTCCTCCCTCCCTGCTCCCTCCTCCTGCCTCTCTCCCTCCCTGCCTCCCTCCTCCCTCCCCCCTCCTCCCTCCTCCCGCCTCCTCCCTCCTCGCCACGGGACGCCGAGGCCCAGACAAGGAACGCTAAATAAGGAACCGAGCCCCTTTTTGACACCATCAGCGCCTGAGTGCACGAGGAGCGCCAGGGGAACCACCACGAAAAGGACCCAAAGAACAGCGAGGCCCTTCCGAACCCGAAGCGGTCCTCCTCTCGGCGTGTCGGCTGCACGGGGGCCTCCCTCGGCCTGCGGCGTGCCCCTCGTGGAGGCGGCCGTCCGCGCCGCGGCCCTCGCGCCAGGTTCCACGGCACACCGTCGCCGCCGTCGCCCGCTCGGCGGCGAAAAGCCGTATATGCTAAAACTGTACGTCTTCCATAAGAAAATCAGTGATTTTGGCCTCCTGGGGCCCTCCGCGCTCTTCGCGGGCGCAGAGGCGCCGGAGCCGAGCCTGGGCCCCCGGGCGCGGCCACGTCTGCTGCTGGAGCTCCTGAAAGGCAGGCTGCCGCCCCGCCCGCTGCCTCGGCGGCAGAGGTGCGGCGGCGGCGGCGCCGCCGCCGCTTCCTGGCGACTCGGCGGCGCGAAAATGCGGAGGCGCCCCCCGCTGCGGCGGATGGTGGCGCAAGGGCTGGTGCTGGCGAGCCGCCCGCGGGCCTGGCGCTCGGGTGCGCGGCCGAGGTCGGCGAAGCCTGTCGCAGCCGCGGAGCTGATGGACCTCGAGGACGAGAGCTGGGCGGACGCCCCGACGCGCTGCTGGAGGCATCGGGGGCGGGAGCCCGACGACCTGGGTACGGGCGCTGGTGCGGCTGTGGCGGTTGCTGAAGATGCCCAGCATGGGGAGTCCCGCGAAGCGTACGCCCAGCGCATGCACGAGGCGGCTCTCGCGAACGCGCGCGAACGTCGCCACTGGGGAGGGCCAGAGTTCTCGTGGTTCGCGATGGTCTTCACGATCCCCAGCGGGTGAGCACTCGTCAACAGCCCTCCGGCCATGGTCATCGACATGGCCCCTCGTAGCGAGCCGTCTCCGTATCATCGACCTACGTTGTCGCTGTTTTGCACTATCCATGCACTGTCCTCCTTCTCCCTCCTCCATCCTCCTTCTCCTCTCTGTCCTCCTTTTCCTCCTCCTCCTCCTCCTCCTCCACCTCCTCCTCCTCCTCCGCCTCGTCCTCCTCCTCCGAGTGCTCTCCTCATCCCTCCTCCTTCTCCTCCTCCTCCTCCTCCTCCTCCTCCTCCTCCTCCTCCTCCGCCTCCTCCTCCTCATCATCACTTCCTCTGACTCAACCTCCTCCTCCTCCTCCTCCTCCTCTTCCTCCTCCTCCAATGCCTCCTCCTCCTCCTCCACCACCTCCTCCTCCTCGTCGCTCCTCTCCTCCTCCCTCCTCCTCCTCCTCCTCCCCTCCTCTCCCTCCGCTCCTCCTCTTGCTCCTCCTCCTCCTCCTCCTTCCTCTCCTCCTCCTCCTCCTCCCTCCTCCTCCTCCGCCTCGCCTCGCCTCCACCTTCCGCATCCCGCCTCCTCCACCTCCTCTCCTCCTCCGCCTCCTCCTCCTCTTTCCTCTCCTCCTCTTCCAATCAAATTCCTCTCCTCATCTCCTCTCCTCTCCTCCTCTCCTCCTATTCCTCCTCCTCTTCCTCCTTCTTCCTTCCTCCTCATCCTCCTGCTCTCCTCCTCCTCCTCTCCTCCTCCCTTTCCTCCTCCTCATCCTCATCCTCCGTTCCTCCTCCTCCTCCTCCTCCGTCTCCTCCTCCTCCTCCTCCTCTTCCTCCTCCTCCCGAATATCCTCAACCTCCTCCTTTTTTTCCTCCTCCTCCTCCATTCGATTTCTTTATAACGAACTCCTCCCTGTCGCATCCCGAGAGTGTTCGAAAGGGCGGGTTGGGAATTTTGCCCGGGACTTCCTCACAGGTCATGAACAGGTTCACAAATAGAAGGCGGGCGGTGTTCAAATTGTGGTCCTTGCCGTAGCGCCGCGCACAGTCGTCGAACATATTACTTGAGCGTCACGGACGGAGAGCGGTGAATTCTCAACATGTGGCTCTCGCCCTGGCGTCGCGCACATTCATCTCTAAGAATTTGCACGTGCGTCACAAATTGAGCGCGGGCCGTTTTCAAAATGTGGCTCTCGCCTTAGCGCCGCGCCTACTGTTCTTGAAACATTGTGAGAACTCCACGGAATGAAAGCAGTTCGTGTTCAAGATGTGGCTCGCCTTAGCGCCGCGCCAACTCGCCTGGAGCAGTTGCAGGAGTTGCAAGGATTCGCACGATTGTTGTTTCGGAACGACTCTGGATTTCCAGGGCGCGACCAGTTGCGTCGATTCGCGGTGTTGAAATCCCAGGAATGGCGCATGGCACAACTCAGGGTCTTGACGCTCTTGAGGATCTTCAAGCGGTTGTTTCCCACCAAGGCGTGGACATGAACCCTTGCACGGGCCTATGAGGAGGAAGCCAAAAAGGAGGGTTGATTCCAACATCGTTGATGAACCGTGGGTTTACACTGGTCTCGTCTCCTCCTCCTACAGCCAGACAAATTGCGAAGGAAGCGGGTCCCCATGGCAGGCCAATCATGCATATGGACCCGCACGTTCGATGAGTAGGCCCTGTTTCACCTCGATCCCCAGCTTGGCTGTTGCTTACCTCAGATTGTCTGGCTTCCGAGGTGAGGGAAGTCTGTTCAAGTGAGACCAGGGGACACGCATCGCGGAAACGGCGCATCCAGATGCATCGATGTCGTTTTTGCACCCTCGGCGGCCGTTGGTAACCACCTGACTCACAATGGGGCATGATGTCCTGCAGCTGGGCCTCGTCGGTCGGAGGGGCGCTTCGACTGCACCTTGGGAGACCACTCCTTGATTGACATGGAACTCCCCCAGGAGCATGAGATTACGGTGCAAGGTTGTGGCCGTGCACGCGTGCCGCAGCGGTGGCATCAGCGGCCACCGTGGCAGAAAAGGCCTAGCGCACGCGCGTTCAGCGCTGCAGGCTTGAGGGGGCGCGTTGGAAGATTTGCGCGAGTCACGGGGCGCCATTGGGGTCTCGCGGGATCTTCTTTCAGATGCCGCTCGCTTGTTGGCCGATGTGTCAGCGCGGGCCCTGAATCCATCTTGGAAAGATTGAGACTTCGGAACTGCGGGAAGCATGCGCCCGCGCCCCTCGCACTTCCTGTTGGCGAGGGGAGCGCCGAGACGGCATCCGAATGCATCCACGCCCATGGCCTGCCGAGGCCCCCGGAGATCGACCCCGCGGGCATGGCCCTGGCGGAGCGGGCTGTCCCGCGCGAATTTGCGGAGCGAAGACCTGTGGGCACGCCCCGATGCGAACTTGCAGCGACGAGCGCGGGAGGCGCCGGGCGAGCCAACGCCCCCCCCTCAGAGCGGATCGCCGCACGCTCGCGCATCCTTCCGCCGAGCGAACCCCAGCCAGCCCCAGCTTTGCAGGAAGCGGCAAAGGGGGGCTCTCTCGCCGGCTGCCTCCAGAGAGATCCTGCGCCGCCAACTCCGGCAACAGTCGCAATGGCCAGGGTCGTAGGACACCGGGCTTCACAAGGAGGTGGAGGAGCGCTTGCCCTGCCTGGCAGGAGCGGGGCGCGCATTCCGTGGGCGGGGTGCCATTTCTCAGCCAGTCCCTGAAACGGAGATTCTTGAAGCGCTCGCGCCCATGGGGAACGCGGAAGCCACGCCCCCCGACCTTCTCCCGAGGATGCTTTTCCAGCTTGGAGATGGCCCGCTGTTTCGCGTTGTCTGGCCCCCCCCCGAGGCTGGCGGGGCCCCGGTGTCTTGCGGCGAGGCGCGAGGCGCGGCGGGGCAGTTGCGCGGCGCCCCTCCACGAAGAGAGCCCGGTTGATCAAGGGAGGTCCTTGCGCCCGCTCATGGCGAGGGCCCAGCTGATCCTGCGCGTCGGGCCCGAGATCTTGGAGCTCCCGTCGACGGGGCAGAGCGGGCACGCGCGAGATGTCGGTGCCATCCACCTTCATAAAACGAAGCGAGGACGGCAAAAACGCCCTGGAACGGACTGGTCCTCGCCCTGACCCCGTCCGACTTCTTCTGCGCGGGCTGGCCGCCGAGGCCTCAGCCGCTCGGCGGCCGCTGCGGGCGCAGTTTGGGGACCTGCGAGAAGCGTTTTCCGAGGGCGTGGCGCGCTGCCCCCCTGGTCCGCCTCGGGGACTCAGCTGGCGTCGCCGATGGCGCCTTCGTGCTCCGCGCGGCTTGCGAGCATCTTGGAAAAAGGAAATCACCCACGTCAAATACAATGGTATCCAGACAGCCACTGTCGCTGAGGGCTTCGCGGAAGGAGGGGCCATCGGCCCTGGCAGCTTTTCCAGAATATATGGAATCTCTCACGGAGACACTGCTAGGGGCAGGCTGCGGCGCGGGGGGCGGGGTCCGCATGCCAGGCCCATGGGCCAATCACGCCTGGAAAAGCACCAGAACGCCGGATGAGCATCTCACGGCGTCGCTAGCACAAGCTCTACAGAATGGTTCCCCTCTGCCCTCGGTGGAGCTGGACAAGATGTTGAGGCGTCCGCCCCCTCCGCGCCAGATGTCGTGTCGGCGCGGGGGCTTGCGGCCATCCTTCACGCTGACAACCCCGCCCTCCTTGCGTCGTCG